TATCTAAACTTTTATTTCTCATTAAACGATCTTTTAAAGTCAGTTATTCATGAATTCATGAGTGTAGTTGTACATTTTTAGTTTCTATTGTTTCTGGAAGGATCATTTTTAACTTTTACTTTTCCAATAACAAACCAAGAGTTACTCTGTGTTTCAGTTTATAGATTGATAAATCAATTTGTGACAAAATGATTAACGCCCATTTTAAAGTTAGTTATGAATTAACTAAATAGTTTTGTATTATTTCCGTGGCTCTTGTGCTCCTCCTCCATACCAGAGGAGTAATGGACCTGTCACACAGCGACGTCAACACGCAGCCGAACAGGAGGAACCGGTTCACATCCAGATGAGGACACGTGTAAACACAACCAATGCTCCATTTCACTTCAACTACAGATGGTTCAAAAAGCCTTTTGTTACCTGTGGTTTCAATGGTTCTTTCTTTCTTGACACCTGTAATAAACATCAACACATGAATCAACAACTGAACTCAGCAGAGGTTTGTTTTCACGAAGCGTCAGAAGCTCAGAGCGATTTGAGTTTTTGTATTTCAAAGGTTAAAGACAGCACAGAAGCAGAAGTTTGGATGTAGCAGAGCAGAAGCGTAATGAGTGACACTCGCACCATCAGTAAATTAAAAGCTTTGACTTGCAGCCCAGCTTCTTCTTCAAATTTAATATGTCGTGGAAATGTTGGAGTGAAAGAAACTAAATATATGAACATGATCAGGACGGTTGACTTGTCTCCAACAGGCTGAGTTCTGCACGTCTCAGTACTGTCTTGTCTTCAGTCGACATTACAAACAGAGTATTTCTTACAGGGTTGTCTGTACCTAATAAAATGCCCACTGAGTGTATATTGTACTTACACAGTCTGCCTTTTTTATGTAAGACAATCAAAGCGGCTGCTACGCCAAGTACGACCAGTACGACCAGTCCAACACCAACACCAACATAAGTGAGTCCAGACGCAGCATTAGGAAGTTTGCGATCTAAAACACAGAAAACATTCACGTTATACTCAACATCATCATTTCTATTTGTTAGGTTCAACTCGATTACTCTCACCTCAACAAAAACACTATTCTACTGCAAGAGAAAAAGTTTCTTACCCCAAGTAGTCGCAACACTTAAGCTGGATTCTCTGTGAAGGACCTCACAGGTGAACAAAGACATGTCCGTCTTCAAAATCTCCACACTGTTCCTTATCTGGTAGGTGTTGTCATCGTTTGGTCGAACATTTGAGGTCCTCACTCCGTCCTGTGCCGTCAGAAGACGACCGTCCCTTCTCATCTCCAGCTCGACCTGTCTCTGGAGGAACCCGGTGGCCAGGCACGTCAGAATCACGCTGGTCTCAGTATGGGACTTCTTTGCAAACATGAACATGGAAGGTGACGCTGGGAAGAGACAACGTGTGGTGAGTTCATGTCTCTCAGGCTCGGGTGGGTTTGGACAATTAAAATGAAGGCATTAGTTTCCTTTGATAAAACATCATAGGGCTCCATGTATTCCATACTGAGCAAAAAGAAATAAAGAATAAACAATCTCATTGACTGCAACACACACTCAGAGAAACATTTGAAATAAAGAAAAAGAAAAAGAAAAGACTATAAACATTATAACACACACACACACACAACTATACACAAAGAACTGAATTATACAGAAATCTCTCTCACGAGCTGCTTGAAGCTGCTTCTGTCTGTAAGTCACGAACTTTTCCAGCCACTTCAGACACTCGTTCTCCAGGTAGCCTTTGGTGTAGTCTTTCAGGGTCTGCACCCCGTCCCACTTCCGCTTGGTGTCATCTGCCGCGGCACCCGAGGAGACCCAGACTCCGTGGCCATCGTCAAAGTGCAGGAAGTCATTCCCATCATAGCTGTACGTGTCCACGCCACGATAGAACTTCATGCTGCCGTCGACCGTGATGCTCTCGCAGCCGTGCAGCCACTGAAGGACGTGGGTGTCTGACGGGGAGGACGGAGACACAACACGACTGAATACAAAGAATTAGATGAACACGAAACCAGAGACGTGGGTCCGATTCTTTTATCTCATGAAAACAGCTTCTGTCAATTCTGCTAAAGAGTTTGACATCAACGTTATAACTGTCACTGAGCAACAGCGCCCCCTGCAGCCACACCAGGTGAATCACTCTGTTGGTCTGTGACAGAGATAAGAGTTTATCAATGTGCTGCGCTGGATATTACCCATGATCCTCTGCTTCCTGTTATAACTGTTCAGAGTTCATGTTTTAGAGTTTACTGCTGAACATTGGAGATAAACTCAGGTTGTTAATAACTGCTCTCAGATCAGCTTCCCTCTTCAACTGTCTGACGGAGGAGAGATGAAAAACATCTGATGACTGACCACAGAACTGACCTGTGTCATTCTGTCGCAGTCGCTTCATCAGGATGTCGATGTTCACATTGAACCACTTCTGCTTGCTCTGCCGGGACTCGGTCCCCATCTTCCAGTAGTCCTTGCCCATGTTCTGCTCCATCCACGTCTCCTTGGGGACCTTCAAGTTCAGGTCCGAGTCAAAGTAGTCGATCATCTTCTGGTCCACCATCCCCATGGCGGTGAACTCGTGGAGGCCAGGACTCTGCACGGGTTTGCTGAAGGCCGTGTAGATGTAGGTGAGGGAATGTCTCTCTGGAGAACACAGGGGACAGACAGGTTAATGAGAGGACACATGGTCTGTCCACCGAGACACAGGGAGACACACGGAGACACATGGAAACACAGGGAGACACACGGAGACACAGGGAGACACACGGAGACACA